GCTCAAGATACATGAAGCGGTTGTCAGTTTTCGACAATCTCTGTCTACGAAGGATTGCTCGGGTGTGGTGGCAATACCACGTAAGCAACGCAGAGGTGCAAGACCGAGTAGTGTCAATCTTCAGAACGTTATTCTCCGACATGGTAAGCGTTGGTTCGGGGACGTTTTGCGCATACCAGCCCATCGCGTTCCACGTCCAGCGCTATTTGCGTTCCCAGGCAGTGAATGCAAAAAGTGCCGCGGTGGACAGTCAATGACGTGGAGAAGAAGCATGAAGAAGTCAACCAGTCCGTCTTCCAGGTTGGGAACCACGAAATGCGGAAGCTCAGTGGTAGAAAACGTTGGACGTCATTAACCGCAACAGATATCAGTGGCGTCAATGTTTTCCAGCCATTATATTCCCCTTTTAAAACATAAAATATCACTCAAAAACTCAAAATTGCGTATGTAAAACCAAAAAATCGTTTTCCATATTTATAAATCGCAGTTCATGTTTCCATCTTCTCCACTTTTTCTTCTGCCATGGTTCAGATGGCACAATGTCAGTTAACAGACTGAGAATATATATATATATATATATATATATATATATATATATATATATATATATATATATATATATATGACTCATCCTGCATCGCCTGGGTAGGAAGAGGTTCGGAAGCAAGGGGTCAACTGCACTGATATTGAAAGTGTTTTGCGCAGCGAGCTATACGGTGCTCCCTATTGGGCATCAGCTCTGTCTCTGATTGTCTCGCTGATACGTGGTTTCCTGGAAACAGTGGCGCGGATCAGCTTGAAGAGCTTGCGATGGATCCCTACTGCTCCCGCCTCCTCCATTTCATGAGTCAGATTAGTCCACCAGGCTTCCGTGTCATCGTGCAAGCGCCGCTTTAGTTCGCGCCCAAGAGTCCATGTGGTAGCATTGTGCTCAGAGCCAACTGAGAGGCTTCTTCCGGATTCCAACAGTTTCACCGTCTTCGCGGACATGCAGTGAGTGGTGCGGTGATGAGAATAAAATATTTATTTCTTTATATTACCACAAGCGAATGCTCCTGGATCGTGAACGGCGACCGAAAGCCTATTCCACTGAAAATCAGGGTCATTAGAACAAGACAGCGAAAGTTCGATGAGCAGCGTATCTTGGTAGGCTTGCCTGACTGAGTGCTGGGATAATTCCCTAGTTGCCAACCGGAGGAGACGCTTGGTGCGCCTCTCGGTAAAGTTTAATGGGAAAACGACAGATAACAAGGCGTGATCAGAGTCGAGGCAAAGTACTCCAGAACGAGCGGCAATCCAGGATGGAACCACGCCACCTGTAACTTATGGCAATGTGATCAATTTAAGTCCATCGCTGGCCAGATACAGGAAGACGCCAAGTAGTACTTCGGCGCTCACTGTGTCTAAAAGTAGTGCTACCAAGAAACAGCTGGTGCTTCGCACAGAGTTGCAAAAGACGCCAGCCATTGTCCGTGCGGTCGGAGTTAAGTCCATAATTACCACCTAGCGGATCTTCTGAAGAGTTCAGGCGACCTACTTGTGCATTCATATCCCCTGCTAGCATTATGATATCTGAACTGTTAGCACCGCGTAGTAGCGTGCTCACTTCGTGGTAGAATGTGTCCTTGGTAGCATCAAAACTGCAGTCGGTGGGAGCATAAGCGGAAACTACAAACAGCGTTTTGTATTGCTTCGTGAGGCAACCGTGGTCGAAGTCGTCAAACAGCATGCACATAAGCGGTTTTTATCCGAAGTCTAGTAAACCAAAAATGACTCAACCTTCGAAATGAGTATGACACCTACCCCAGCTTGACCAGAGACAGCCGTATCAGTGTCTCCGGATGCATGCAAAGAATAGCGAGAGGGCAAGCCGGGCGCAGTTAGTGCAACAACACATAAATGTCACTGATCCTAGTTTCGGGTACGCAACACATGTCAATACTCAATGTGTCCAAGGTGCGTGCGAGTGCAGCCAATTGACCTATTTGTCGTAGAGTGTGAAAGTTGAACGACACCAGGGAAACGGAACAGTATGGGCTTCTGAGGAACCGTTGCCGATAGGCGTCCAGTGGGTAGCGCGAGAAGGTGGCTGCAGGTGGTTAGACTCCAGTGGCATTATGGCTGCTGTCAATTAAGCTGGGAACTATAGAAGGTAGGTTATGAATGGGGGTTGGGATGGGTATAAGAGAAACAGGTGGAAAAGAAAGAAGGGAGGCTTCAGAAGTAGCATGTTTTCGCTTATCCGCCTTGCTGTATACAGCAGATAAGGCGACCATTGATAATCTGCGAGACAGCCGATGAACAATGTGGTTAAAGTTCGAGGAAATTGTCATGGTTGTATGAGGCTGAGATACTGCCAGGGAGTCCAGACATAGACAGAAGAATGATTAGGGTCCTCAACCAAAGCCTGTCAGCAAGGCAGCAGAGGTTGCAATGATTTAGTTTTACAGTACTGAACACCAACCCATTTCAAACCCCCCAAGCTGGAGGACCAGGAGAATGAGTTTGTTTGACCCCTAACCATTGACCAACCTGGTAGGAGCAGCTATCAAGGGGCATGGGGGCACCACTCAGTATAGCTCAATGAGTCAAAGAGATACACAAAGCTGGCATGTGAGCTGCTGGGACAAACCAGACAAACCAAAGTTTGACTGCGCACGATAAGAAGCCATGTGAGCAGCAGTACAAGACAGATCACAGTTGCATGACATGTGGAATTTAATGACCGAGGTATAGAAAATAAACATGTACCTGCTAAGCGGTCACGTGATGAGAAAATGGGAACACTTTAGTTCATCAGTCTTCTAACTACGAACCAGGCACACCTAAGCGACTATGGATAATTAAATGTAGTCAAAAAAGGAAAAGCACTGAAATGGTTGAATAAAAGGCGGTGCATAGTTAGATCTAGAGACAAGAGACAGAGGTTCGTCAACTTCTCAGTTCCCAGTTCCCGATGAAGTTAATGTTGATCCTCATGCAAAAGAGAAAGTATGAGAAAAACGAGAACAGGTCTGTTGGTCAGTTACAACACGTCTACGCGTCAAGTCATCACCAGATATTCAGAAGTTTCAGCGGAAGTGTTGAGAAATTTGCGAACATAACCGGGTTGGAGGATTGGCAAGCACATGGAAAAAGTAATGGGACAAGCTGTAGTGATGCACGAGATCCGTTGCCTAAGGTTGCCGGGAAACTTTAAGGGATGCTGGTTGATTAGGACAAAAAGAAATCGAGCTTTTGAAATAGCCGCCCAACTGGCAAAGGGGGTGAGCTCACCTAGGCAATCAACTGAGGTTTGGCGCGTTTCGTTCTGATTGTTAGTTGGCGTACGCTCAGTAGCTGCAGCGTCCTCCCTCCGCCGGCTGGCGCGTTATTTCAAAAGTTAGCTTTCTCTTTGAACACAGTATTATGTAACACTTGGTGCGCACTGAAGCCGACGTTTCTACGGGAAAAGTGTTTTGTAGGATTATGTCCTCTGAGAGTTGGTATCGAACTTGCTAACTGGTTAGTCGGTTAAAATGCAGTCACACGATGCCGTCAAGGAAAGAAAAGTAACAAGTTACCGAGAAGCGTTTTGAAAAAGTAATGGTCTGTGCGACGAGGGCTGACGGCGTCAATAAAGGTAACCTCAACAAATATGGATGAAAAATTAGCGCAAGTTCATAAACATAATCGCAGAGGACTTTGCGTCGCCAGCTACTTCTGCTCATTGTACGACAAGGAGCAGTAAATAATAAGTAAAGAATAATGTACCAGCTGTACGCCGTAAGAGCGCTTCGCTGTCGCGCGACCATTACCAGTCGCGCGCGGTTGAGTACATCGGGAGAACGCCCACCCCTACGTAGATTCGAACCATTTGACTTTATGGTTAAAAGCCCACTAGGCCACCGACCGATATCCTCCATTTCATAAGATATCGCATGGTTGCAGCCGAGGAAAATCGGCCGGTAACGCGATAAACGTAAATAGAGAAACTGACGCGGATTTCATCCTTGTGAGCTTGCGTCAAATTCAACGGCTGGCTTAAGTTACTGGACTGGAATCAGGTGGTTATAGGAAAGAAAAAAGGATGAGGCCAGAGAATGTGTGAATCGTTGTACTCTCTTGAGTGAGCAGCGGTGCCAGAGAAAGAATGAAGTGGTTTGCATAACGGTGCAAATTTGGTTACTACATCCACAAATGCCCTAATAACCAGACATTGTTATTCTGAATGAGTAGTGGTCGGTAACTGCGTCAAAGTATTTGCCTGTCAACACGAAGCCGAAAGTTGATAGTCACGAAACTCAGTGTAGGTGGGGAAATGCGTCCCAGCAAACGTAGTCTACAGCAGAGAAAAGTACGTCCCACTTGTGCTCTTAGTAAAAATGCTAGCGGTTCGACTGCTTCGCTGTGGTTTTGATCAACACAAAGTAACCCTTACTGATATAAACAAAAATGCTACAGTATTTTATATTGATGGAATCCGCTGGAGGATTAGGAACAATTCAGGTTCGAGGGTCGATGTCCAGCTGCTGACCAGAACAAGAACAGAGAAGACTGGAGAATATGCCGGAATGGACAACCGGTCAAAACTCGCATTTTTAAAGCCAAACTCCACGTAGCGCTGACCACCAGCCAGTTAACAAAGCCGTGGTCAGACCTAGACAAGCAGCGTCGTGTCATTGGAGCGCAGAGAGAACAAGACACCAGCAGCATGATGCAAGCTTAAAGAGATCAAGTGAAAAATGGGGTAAATAAAGCAGCCATGCACGTTATTGAGTTCACCAAGGTACACTTAACAGCGAGTCATAAAAGCTAGGGCCAAGGTGGGACATCAACAAAAATCACCACTGTAGTGGAGCAAAACAAAATGTTCCCAAGTATTCGACGGACTCCGATCCCACCACCACCTAAGTAAACCGTGGATTTCATTTTGTGTCCCATGAGACAGCGTTAAAAACGGCGAATGAAATTAACTCAGAAATTTACGGCAGATGAAATGAAAATGTTGATAAACGTACACGCTTATGATATGAATAAACGAGATAGGCGTCGGAACCGATATCCGATACGTAGGTTAGGACGGAAAGACAGAAGAAAATCAACTGGTACAAGCGAAAGCCATGAACTCTGAGAAAATCTTGCAGAACCATGAGCTGGACAGGGTCTGGCACAGGTTCTCCACTTGGACGGAGGAGCTGATGAGGAGTAAAGTGGCTGATTTTTTCTAGCTGCCCAACTAAAGGCACTTGGTGAGAAGGAACACCACCCCGCTGCGACAAATCCCCCACAGCTGGAACGGCGGAATCCGTGTGATCGACGTGGGCAAATCTAAAATGCAATAAGAAAGAATAAGTCACGTTGTGTGGAATCAGATGCATTTCCGCATGGGAAGGCGGCATCGATATCGCGTAAGATGATGATGGGATGTTCAAAACGAAGAATGACTCGGTTTTCATAAAGAGCAGGCGAACAGTGATGATGTACAATACAAAAGCAACCATGCGTGCTAAGGTACTACTAGTGTTTAAATGTCACGGTGGGTACCATGGAAGATACGCTTACAAATAAAGGTGCTCATGGCCTTTGGGTCCGCGGAGAAACAGCCGAGAACGTCCTACAACAGTTGATCAAAACACTTCGAGATCAAGTTGTAGGTCGTTCAACAAACCGGCGTTGCCAGCAAATGCAAGTGCTAGAAAATGGGTGACAGTAAGGTGATTGCTGACCAAGCAGACGAAGCACTCATCCGAGCTAACGAAGTCACGCAGCGAGATTACTGAGTAGCACAATCTCGGATATAAAAAGGTGTACCTTACTACTAACGATATGGTGTTACTACTGTGCACCAACAATGACCTGAGGATGGTGGTGGTCAAAAGCAATCCCTAAACACGGCCTGCGCAAACAGCTCAAACTTTGCAGCCGTACCGAGGAACTTAATCGTGAAGCAGAGCCGCAAGCCTTTGTCGTATTAGCTCTTTGTGAAACAAAAACTAAGTCAGGGCCCCGATCAACATTCTGTACTTCCGAAAAAACATTATATACCTCCCCCTAACAAAGTGGCTCATTTCATCCGGTCGGTCCTCTAGTAGCAATTACTGCTCTCGCCAGTTCAGATCAACTATCCACTTGCTGTCATCAACTTGGGGCTATCGACATGAGCAAGCAAAACGTGGACCCGGGGTCATTGCTACTCGCTCAACAGCTACCACCATAGCCATATTTTATAAGGAGGTTAAAGTCCCATTAGTTCAACAATTCAGCAGGCCTTAAAAGATATGTTGAATATCGCCTTTGATAACAAGCGGATTCTCGGATAAGAGACGCTTCAGAGAATACCTGCCTTGTTGGAGAATAATTTTGAACTGGACGGCTGTTGACACAACACCGTCGGTGTACTCATCCTGAGATCCTTAAGGGAAGCAACATTCAGTGTGTACTGGCCTGTAGAAGAGAATCGGGTGTCTGGTACAAATAAGGATGGAATATAATCCTCAATATCAGCACCCAGAGATGTAATGCGTTATCTTCATCAACAATTCCCGACTTGTAAGGTTGTAGCTACAGAAATAGGCTACAGCATTTACAATGGCACCAAGTTCCTCGTCGGAGCCGCACGTCACCGGGTCTCACAAGTTTCATGTTGTCTGTCTCCAAATCGACTGATCCGGCCGCAAAAGCTATGAACAACTCATGGTGTAGGTATCCTCTTGTTTTTCGTTGTCCCCGCTCTGTATTGCCAGAGCAATGGGTGTTGCGGGCACGTCAAATATTCCCGCAAAAACGCGCCAGAAACCCCAGCAGAATGGCTGTGGAAAGCGAGGGCCAATTCCTCCCCGCAACGCAGCAGAGCTCAGCCACTCCGAGACGCGGCCCAAACTGCGCACCTTCTGACAATGGTCATTTACAAACTACCACCTCTTCGTGGTGACAGTTTTCCTTAACTTAATAACCCATAGCACTCTTTGTGATCGCCCTTTGTCGGTCGTAAAAGAGCCTACAGAGGACCACTTGTCTTTTCTTTCTCTTCGCCTCAGTTGGGAGTCGGTCGGATCGCGTGATTGCGTGTGCATCGTTAGCTGGCCAGCCTTCGCGTCTAAGCCATTAGAACGCGTCTATCGTAAACCCCCCTCTCGTCTGCGTCCGTCCGAGGCTCGGCGTCTATCCGAACACGTGCGGCTAGGATCGTTAGCAAGCTCGCTCAATTATCCGCCTCACCGGCTAAGCCAGCGTCGTCAGGACAGCGCAATTCCGTTCGAGTGGTCAGCGTAGCAAGCAATTATCGTAAGCGTGCCAGCGACCCTCTTATCAGGCAATTACGCAATTATCTCAAGAGGCGGCGTTCCCTCAATTATAACAGAGGCGACCCAATTATAACAATGGGTTTGCTGGTATCGCCAAAAAATCTTTAAACGGAACGCCCTCTAAAGATTCTCATTCTAGCATACAGAACCGCACACCCATACCACACTCTACGATGTTACCTAATTCCACACCTCAGATACACTATTAACAAGTTGATCAACCTCGCGTGTCTCTGTCGCTGTCCTCCTCAAGACCGCTGTTTCCGGATACTCTAATCACAAGCCACCTTCTTCAGCAGTGGCTGCCGGCATTAACTTAACAAAAAACGTATGACCTCCAAATCTAGCACATCTCTGCGTTTCTGCACACAATGTCCAACTTGGTTTCGAAAATGTTCGGGGCCGGAAAGGCACTTAGCAGCACATTGCTGGAACCCTTCTGCTTTCCTATCCACAGCGTTCAAATAAAACGTGTCACAGTTTAAGTGTTGCGAAACTTTCCTCTTAAGCCATACTCGAAATCCTCGCCTCACTCATCTTGACCGGCACAACGCAGATTGTTTAGTTCGATTTTCACTTTACTCAAAATCTGCGTGAGCTCCATCAATGTCCATCAATGCTCGATTAATAGTCTGAGAAAACATCTACAACAGCTGGACCAGTACCGATTTACTGCCAAACCACAACAAGTGATCACCGGTGTGCGATATCCCGCAACATTCGCTATCTCCCACTGAACCCAATCTTACTTCCGTCGACTGAGTCTGGAGTCCGCGGGCAACGTCTACACCGACACCGCCACTACCAAGGCACTGTATTCTAAATAATAAAGATGAGGGGAATAACCCGCCATGTTCGTCTGCTAACTATCACGGGTAGCCTGAGCTTCCGCCAACGATCCGGGGGCCTAGTTCAGAGTCTGAGTACCAGTATATTACTCAACCTACAAGTCTAAATTCTTACGATGTTCTTGACGGTATTTTTCGAGAATGTTGTCAATTGTTGATGTTATTACTGTTACAGATGCAACGGGGGACTCCATAATTTTTCGGCGTTTACTTGCTGATTTGCACAAACTGTTGTCTTCGTCAGCAGCTAGCTCTGCTAGATTCTGGTGCCTCGTCTTATTAGATATGTCGGAACCCTTCATGGAGAGAAGATTGAAGGCCATGCCCGGCAACCTAGCACACAATTTCTCAGTCAACTGTATCCATTGCCCCCATAGCACATGCTTCATAAGGAAATTATGTCCCTCCGTTAGTCCCTCAAGATAACTCGTAGGTCAAGCAGATTGCATCCAGTGTGCGTACATGCACGCAGTGCGTACTGTTCGTTGATTAGCCGTTTTCAAAGCAGCCAACAGAATACCAGACGCGCATAAACCATGGAATGACAGTATGATTCTTGAAACCAAAGCCCCTTTAGTCATCGTAGAGGAAAGAATAAGGCATCAACAATACGCCGGTATGCAGTACCGACGTTTCGACGCCATGCAACCACCAACGGTCGCGCGTGGGCTAAGGATACTGTGAGAGTCGCTCGATCCCCTATGCAGAGTCGAACTCGCGACCTCCAGGTTGCAAGGTAGACGTCTTGTCCTTTCGGCCAAAGACCGGGAGTGCACTGCAAACCGATGGTGTTTTGGCAAATGTTTAGCCGCATTCGACTCTTAGAGTCAGCAAAGATCGCCTACACAGAAACTAATCTCACGCAAACTAGGATCCACATACGTAATCCAACTCATGTGGTACTGCTGGGCATAGCTATGTCTACGTGTATGCGTGAGTGGGCGACGGTTGAAACTCCTTCACCCAGCCCTCAGTCATCCGTTCGTCCACGTGGGACAGACCATGTGACCAGTGTGCCCGCGCGCGCTAGTTTTGGACAATGAGAGGAACACATGAGACGTGGGAACAAGGCTGACTGTGGCCGGTGTGCTTGCCATATACAGCTGCGCGTGCTGGCTCACCGGCTTGACTGGTGGGGTAACAACCCGTATGTGCTCCAATGCACGAAGTACGCTGATTTCATAACACAAGATAAGCGGAGAAGGTAAACTTACGGCATGCGCGCAGGTGCGAATGTGTGAGAGCAGATGTTGGTCCATGAAATAATCCAATATACAAAGCGTTGAACGTAGAGGAAAGGTGGCGTCACCAATGCGCCTACCTAACAACTCCGGAGTCAAGAAGAACACAAAAGCGGAACCAAACGTATCCCAGATACGGTGAAGATACAGAAGTGATACAGCGCGTTCAGGGTTGGGGCACGATCAATCTCGCTGTGAATAAATCCAAGACGTGAAACAAAAAGGGCCTGACAAGGCGAAACGAGAACACATGCAAAGTGCGGAGATCCGGAGTTGACATTTTAGGATGCCTTTCGGAATATGTTGACTGATTATCGCATTATAATGCAGTCTCAGACTATTTCGACAAGATAAGATTCAGTCGTAAGTGCACGCCGAGACTACGTTTCTGAAAGTAGAACAAATGGCATGCTCTTCGAGTCTGTGAGTCTAAAAAAGGTGGTGGGGTATATTGTTTCACTTGCTTGTGATGGTACATTCTGGGCTATATCAGCAGGGGCGTACTGGGGTCGTCCTATCGCAGCACAATCCATGAGAACCGAATAATCTGAAATGATTGCTCTCGCAAATTAGCTCAGAAACGCGAGATAAAGAAGTATCAAGTACCGTGTCTTGTGGTACAGCGCACTAATGTCAGATCTGGTGGAGCAGGAATTCTCGAACTCTCACACCTATAGGTGCAGTTCAAGTTACCGTTCGAAATCAAGTTGTAAAAAAGTAAGGGGATGATGTTTTACACAATGAAATGTTCACAAAATAACCACAATCCCAAATGATTAGGTTCACGCGAGCGGTGCAAGTAATAGGTATGCGGTACGCGAAAGGCATTGTCGAAGCCATGATGAGGAAACACCATGACATTCAAGCATTCCCCGTGCCGCGTGAGCCGTAGGTGATAACTTCAATGGGACTGAAAGGTACATGGGGCGTCGGTACCAAGTGAGAGGCTCGCAGAAACCGGCCTATCGAGAGTCGTGCTAACAAAATGTGTCTTCTCGTGATGGTGATGCAGCCATTCTCCAGGATTTTCATGAGTCCCTGGGTATAGATGTACCGATTCACCCGCGCACGATGATAGTCAAGTCAAAAATGTGGTTTCATGCACTCAAGAAGGGCGAATTTTCAGTCATGCATGCAGGACGTGAAACAATCGTTGTTCCTGCTAGCATACTACCCCGTCCCAAGCTTCTGGTTGCCATTGAGTATGAGGTGTTCGGGTGAGGCCATCAGCGGCACCTAATAAATTACACGCGGTTCTCTATCACGTACAAACGCATGTAGCTATTCGGATCTAAGCGCCGCCATTGGTAGAAAAAAGAGCAGCAACTTCGGTCTGATGATCTGAGGTTCCTTCAAGTTGTTGACCATCGTAACCTATGGAGCACTGTTGCTGGTATGTGCACAACGACGATACGCACAGGCGGGGCCAGGCGGTGATAATTGGGATAGTACCTTAGTGGAAGAAATAACACTGAATAAGTTGCGTTGCCTTGGGCACGTACGTATGCCTAAACACCGCTTACTAAGGATAGATTTAGTTTGACTGTCGGCTGTAGGATAACATAAAAATAAAGGAGAGCAGAGGAAATGAAAGTACTGACGACTAAACCAGGTTTGGTTGGTCAGTATCGTCTGCCAAGCTGAAGCTTATGGGACACATCTTATGCTCAGCTCAAGACTTGACAGGGCATGGCTCGCAGCCGGCACTAGTGGCGCGTTTGTTATCGTCTCCTAGTCGGATTACATGTGTGCGTATCTGTGTCTGCTGAGCTAACTGTGAGCTAAGGCTGATAATTACGCGAAGTTGTGAAATACGTGAGAAAGCTGTCACCCCGGAGCCGCCTAGTCTTCGCACCGTATCAAGACGTATGACAGAGAGCGAACGTTTTAACTCTTAATGTTTATTCAGAATGATTAGGTTTTACAACAAGTCCCCTATTATTGCTATGTTTCATTGCACAGGTCATTGTTGTTGCGCAGCAAACAGGCATAAGTTCAAATTATTAATGTACTGCTGCTGTCAGTGATGATTATACATGGAATGGGACAGGCAGTACACACGGTTGTAAACTGCACTATAGAAATGGTACAAAATCTCACTTCGAAACGTCCGCTCGAGTATGCGTCGGAAATTCTGCCCATGTCAGGTTTGCCAGCCAGGAACGTCGTGTGACGAGTGCTTTAGAAGGACAGGGAGTCCCAGAGGCTGAACTCTCGGAATTGTGAGCAGACCGAGTTACATCGTGAAACATAGGTGAAAAGTCTTAACAGAAACGCCAAAATGACGCCAAAGCATATGAAATGACGTCCCTCATAGCTGAAAAGAGAGTGACTGGGCATTAATACATGTGATCTGGCAGTGGAGGGAACAAAAAATGAGTTACATTTGGAGATGTGGGAACAAAACACGTTGGAATCGATTGATTTATGGTATGTCTACTGTAACAGAATCGAACATAAATGCGATATATTATAACAGAAGCTGTTTATATAATAGACAGAGCTATCAAATGATGCATAAGCATACAATTAAGGCCACAAATAGGAACAATCAGGCAGCTTTAGAAACTGACGGAATTTTGTCTAATGCATTGTTTCACATTAGATGAAAGTATAAAACACATTTCAGCTATTGTGACGCAATACGCAATATTAGATATAGGAAGAAAAAACGAGATACATTGCAGAACACAAAAACCGGCAGGCAAAACTCGGCTTAATAACATACTATGCATGGAGAGGGAAATCGTGGTTGGAGTGGGAAGATAAGCGGGATGGGGATGGATAAAAATATTATAACGCAAACACCATTGAGGTCGGCTCCTCGCCATGCCAACCAGCATACGCAATCAAACGTGTTCATCGTCCTTGGGATCCCAGAATGGCAGTCGGGAGGCACCAATCGATGCTAAATTCGAAGGAAGGGTTTTATTTCTCTAGATCAAGTCACCGTTTAACCTCCATTCCTCGTCTTCTATCCAGACCCCAGTCGCGCAAACACAAGTCGCGGCAGTCGGTATGATGGCATGCGCGAAAAGTTACCCAGTCATCAGAGCCTTTTTCATGATATAACGCTGCTAAGTGGTTCACTAGCTCATCCTGCACTACATACACAACGTAGAACACGCACATTGTTCACGCGGTGTTCCCACTAAACAGCGAAGGCAGCGATGATAGAACGCAAGAAGCCTCTTATGGCATGCCGATCTGATGGGCTAGGTTTCACAAAAGTACAACAGGGCTGAACGGATGTTTGCATCCTAAACTCTGCGCTTCTGGGCGATAGTGATTTGCGTCGGTACCACAGGTGGCTGAGGTTCGCAAGAGCACCTCGAAAGTATGTAATACTGTTTGCGATCTCATTCTCTATTCCAATGATGCTGATATGGCCACCCAGATACTTGAATTTTTCGAAGACTTCCAGCCGATAAGCAATAAGGGTCAGTGCAAGAGTGGGCCTTTTCTAATCTTGGAAGACTGCATTTGAGGGTGCAAGGCATAGCCCGAAGCGAGCTACAGCCGGTGCTAATTTGTCCAAAACTGCTTGGCAACTTTGTGAGCCATCACAGATTAGGACAATATTGTCAGCATGCTCCAAATCGAGAAGTCGACCACCTGGGAGAAGCACCAGACGTTGTAGGCTGTGTCCAGTGAGCGCTAGTTAGATGACGTCATCAATGACCAAATTAAAGAGGAAAGGTGAGAGCGGACAACGTTCTCACACTGCTGGAGATATCGAAGGGCAGCGACAGTTTGCCACAATCCCTTACTGCGCACGAAATGCGCGGACAAAGCATTATGATAATGTTTACGTATCTTTCCGACACATTTTTCCTGAACAGACAGTCCCAAAGCGCACATCGATTCACCGAATCGAAAACACCTTTAATGTCGAGGAAGACGAATACGGTGGACCGTCGATGGAATGCTCCAGCAACTAATGTGATTTGAAGATGTGATCAAGACATTTGCGACTTCGACGAAATCCGGCTTAATCCTCACAAATCTGACTTTCACAGGTGCCAGTCAGTCAATGGAGGACGACAGAGGCAAGTAACAGAGGCAAATGAAATTAGACTATCTCTGTGGTTGCCGCATTCCGAACAAGAGCGAAGTTGAAAATTGGGGCCATAACGTAGCGGCTCCAGCCTGTTGGGACAGTTTCCTGCCCCTAAAGCTTCACCAGCAACTTGTGCGAACCACCCACAAGAGCTGGAGAGGGTTGGATGCAGTCCATCTGCTCCGTCGGCTTTAGTCAATTTCGGCCGTCTCATGTTCGATTTCTACGCATGAAGGCGGATCCATAGGGAAGGCAAAGGAAGAAGGGCGATCAATGGCCGACAGAGAAGCTGGTAACTGGCTGATTAAACTGCTTTCCAAAGTGCTTGGCCTAACACACGAAGTGTTGGAAGAACCCACTTCAATCGGAATGAGAGATGCATCATTTGAGGGTGGTCAAACTGAACAAGTAAATGAGAGATATACTTCAGTTATGTATAAGTGACAAGTTATGAGTTATGAAGTGTATTATAGGTTGCGGCATATTGCAAGAATTTCTTAGTCCTTAGACTGACCACTTACTTCATCTTCACCCCATAACCGCTTTCGTTAGTTGTGGCAACATAAGCAAAAGAATGTGATCCAGCCGTACAAGTAATGACAAAAGTCGGACTCAGTTTTAACTCGTTAGAAACACAGCTACAGTAAAGGCCCAAAAGAATGAAACGACTGCCTGGAAAAATAAAGGAGTGATATCTATCTTGAAGCACTGGTTTAGACGTTGGGTGGAACATGTCAAAGGCTATACAGGTTTGTGGTGTTTCGATTTCAAAAACTAGCGTCTTTTGCCTTCAAATAAATATGAAACAAACCCAAATTTTCTGTGAAAGCCGGCACGTGTTCGAAAGGATAGGCGTCTGCCTTGCAATCCAGAGGGCAGTGCACTCAAGCCTGCGTAGGGCGCCGGGTGACCCTGGCAGGAACCTAATCCCTGGTGCGATTGGTAATGGTTGCGTGGCAGCGAAGAGTCGGAACGGTATACCGGCATGCTGCTGAAACCTTATACCATCAGTGTGAAAAATAAAGAGCAAAAAACGACCACTTTCCACATACACCGAGAGATGTTGATGACTACTCTGTTGATCTAATACATTTGTAAACACTAGATGGCACAGTGAATTGTGATTTCAGGCAGGAGGCTGCTTACCATCAATTGGATCCTTAACAAAGACTTAAAAATGAAAAGCAAAAGTTACCGACATAGTTGCCTTAAACTTACCGACTCTGTTGGGTGGCGCTGGAGATACTAGTCGGTAATCAATGACACGTAAGAGCCATGTCAACTACGGGACAGTATAGAAGCTGGAGGCGACTGAACCCAGCATGTATGGTGCAGATTACAAAAATAGGAAGCGAATGAACCAAAGTGAGAAACGGTGTAGCAGAAGACTCATCAAAACGATTTGTGTCAACGGATGTGCCGTAGGTAAAAACAAGTGGACGTTTTGAAGGTTCAAATAACTGCAAAATTCAATGTTCCAAAATACAGAAAGAGGGTGTTTTCCGGTACACTACACTTCAAACCTTCTACAGGTATCCTCCTGGAAATGGAAGCGGTGGAATCCAAGCCACTATAAAATGATTCCACTTAGACGCACAGCGCAAAAAAACTGGAGGTTAAAATGGTGCGACTCAATAAGCTATCCTGCGTGGGGCTCATGGGCTACTTATAAATAAATGAATTCGTATATTTACCGATAGACGGTACTATGTCGGTCAATGGTTAGCGGTATAACAAACTCAGTCTCCTGATCCTTAAAATTGCGAATGAAAAAGGGATGGCGCCCATTTATATAAAACGAAACAACATTATAAGGATTTTGAAACACTCGATGCAAATTTTGATCCTGTATCTATCGGATTAGTCGCCTACGCGAAAAAAGTGAAAGTTTTCAATCCGACTATTGTGACTTCCTATTCACCACATATATATGTATGTTCGAGACGTTCAGCATCCGACTGGGGGTTTAGTTCTCCAGTGATGCGGGAGTCAGGTACCATTTCACCAGGAAGTCTGAGGGTTGTACTGAACATGAATTCTACAACGCAACACCCAATGTCCTTTTTGATGGTATTGCGAGTGCCAAGGAGGATCACAGAGGCGCTCAGACCAACGTAAAGCTGGTGAACTAGCCATAATGGCGTCTTCTGTCGATGAAAGTGCTCGACGAGGTCATTGGCTGCAGGATGGTACGCGGTTGTTCATATGTGAGCACTACCTAACAAATGACTCGAATTACGAAACAATGTGGAACAGAACTGAGTAGTGATGGTGGCTGAAACGTTAAACAGAGAAATCTAGGACTTAACGAAGACACGGGCAACAGATTCAGTAGACGTATTACGTAGAGGAACAGCTTGTGACCAACGTTTAAAACGCTCGACACGTCAAAAGATAAGCGAAACCGTTGGAAGGACATAATGGTTCAACTATATCCACGTGAACATGTTTGAAACGTGCACCAATGAGTGAAAAAGCCCCTGGGGTTGTGACATTTTGGCAATGGATTTTACTACTCTGGCAATAAAGACATTGTCTAGCCCACTACCGAATGTCCGAACGCATATTGTCAGATGAATTGGTTAGTAATGCGCTATACAGTAGATCCGACGCTCAGGTGTGATAGACCGTGAAAATAATCAAAAATGGCGCGTCGAAATGCTTGTGAGACAAAAGGTCTAGGCTTACCAGCTGAAATATCACAATAAACTCTCGTGTCTGAGTTAAGCACAGGTAAATGCACGAATTTTAAAGAATCGTTCGATCGAAGTTGGATAAGCTCCGGATCATTGGCTTGTACGGCGGATATTCTCTCCAGGTCAATGACTGTCGGTGACAGTTGATTCGGATGAGCACGCGATAATGTAACAGCATCAGTGTTGTTAGGACCATCGTTGTAACGAACGTCTAGACAAAACTGAGAGGTAGTCCAGATGACGCGTTTCTCGGGTTAAGTAACGATCGGAGGCGGAATGCACAGCGTATACCAAAGGTTTGTGCTCTGTCAGGATAATGAAACGGTGTCTCTCCAGACGGTGACGGAAATGTTTCATAGCCAAGTACATGGCGAGAAGTTCACGACCAAAGGTGCTGTACCTGACCTGAACAGGTTAGCTTCCGCGAGATAAAGAATATTGGCTAAAATTCATTATCGAATAACTATTGCAAGACTGCACCGACAGCGGAACTTGAAACATCTGTCTTAACGACAAGTGCGGCGACCTCGTTGGTGTTCAGGTGTTGAAGAGACGTGACTTC